GCACCAGACCCGGTACAGCACACTGGTGAGGGTGATGGGGCGCTCTACCTTCTCATTTTTGGCCAGCATCACCACAAGGCTCATGGTCAGTTGGGTGGGAAGTTCCGCCTTGGCTTCCATGGTTTGCAGGAGGCTCAACAATGGTTGCAGGGCCTGCTTGGGTGCTGTTCGGAGTAGCTGGGTGGTGATGGCGTCTGGCCCACAGGCTTTGTCTGGGAGGTGCTTCAGGGTCTTGCCGAGCTGCTCAAAGGTGAGGGGGGGCAGGGTGGCTGCTTGCTGTTTGGCCTGTTCCTGCAGGGGCAGCCGGGTCATGGTCTGGTTGTCCTTGGTGGGCTTCCAGAGTTTGTGCCAGTCGTTCATCCGGTGTCGCATGCGGTCTGCCATAGGGATGGTTCTGTAGGGTCTCTGCCATGAGAGCTCGCTGGCCTTGAGGGATCTGAAAAGGCCTTTAAGGCCTTTGGTTTCTCCCTGCCGGATCCATTCCGCATATTGGAGGCAGCTTTCTTCTCTGCTCTGGTGTTGTGCTGCTTCAAGTTGATGTTGCACTGTTTGTTGCAACAGGTCGAAGGTGCGGTCATCCTTGTACTGGACCCAATGATAGAATGTATCGAGGAAAAGCCCCCATGTCTGATCACCCAGCCATTGGTGTTGGAGGTTGTGGAGCGCTTTGGTGAGCCCGTGGATGGCGCCTGGAGCCTTTGCTGGCTGGTGTTGGATCAGGGTGAGTCGGGCTTGGATTTGTTCCCAAAAGGCAGCCTTTCCTCGTTTCCAGATGCCTCCTGCTTTCGCGGGCACCAAGGGGAGATGCTGGATGGTCAGGTTGGCTGCCCGTCCTTGTGGTGCCCAGGGGTGTTGCTGCAGTAAATACTGCTCAGTGATCGAGACCCAGTCCGCCAGCCCTTGGGCTCCACTGTTGGGTGTAGACTCGTAGAGCTGAAGCTGGTCTGCCTGCGAGACATACGTGCTCCAAGCCCGGAACCCAATGTCGGGCACATTTGGTAACGGTGGAAATGCCCGGAGCTGGTGGTACAATCGGAAGTCGTCGTCGAGCTCGAAGGCATAGGTGAGGAGACAATGTGGTCTCCAGGGGACGGCCCACTCGGTGGTCATGGAGGTGCATGCTGCAAGTGTTTGCTGGATGATGGCGTAGTCAACCGTGTTGCCATTGAGCAGGGTTGCATCTGGGGCCAGGATCTGCCAATGGAACTTGGAGCCTAGGACGGTTCCTTGGATCTGTTCGGGGTGGTTGTTCCAGTCTCCAACCAGGACGAACTGCCTTGTTGTGGCTTCCAAGAGTGCCAGGATCCGTGCAAGGATTTGAGCGTTGGTGGTGCCTTGGATGGTTTCATTGGTCTTGAAGTAGACAGCGACGACCAAAATGGTTCTTGCCTTGGCCTCCCAAAGAAAAGCCTGGTAGCCACAGCCCTCAATCTCAAAGGCTTCAAGCTGGGTGAGCCCATGGGCTGTGTCATGGATGACAATGATTCCGCCACGGTTGCCGTCGTTGGTGGCATTGCTGTGGGCTGGGTATCCAAAAGCATGTCTGCCCCGAACCTCAAAGTATTGACACATGGAGTGGTGCTTTTGTCGATCGAGATGTGTTTCAATCAGGATGTAGATCTCGTTGTCTCGAGTCCAGTACCAGTCCAAGGTGCTTTTGCCAAAAGCTGTGACGTTTGCCACATGGAGGCGCATGTTGTCTTGGGTGTGGCGTGCCTTCTTGGGTGGCGTGCCGTGGAGAGGTGGATCGTAATCCGGAGTCTCCGGAGGTGGCAAGGCTCTGGCTATTTGCCGTGGTGTGATCAGCGCCGAGGTCTGTATGCCCCAGATTTGTACAATCTGGCCCGCTATTTGAGGCGTCAGAAAGGGCAGCACCTTGGGAGTGGCTCCATCATCGGCAATCCACATGAGGTCTTTGTAGACGAGGATGGCATAGTAATGTCCGGTTTGATGGGTGGGTCCTCGATGGCAGATGTACGCCAAAGGGATGTACTCCTCGCTGGCTCTGGAGAAACCGTCCACGGAGCGTGGGACGGTGTACGGGCCATGCGGGTTTAAGGCTCGCTTGTGTTTGGTCACTGTGCCTTCGATGGTGACCGCCCGGTTGATGTGGCTGATGTGGATCATCTTGTCATCTCCCAGGTATTGCCCATAGCCTTGATTGGCCCAGCAATTTAGCAGTTCCTGCCATGTGATCTCATCGAGGTATTCATCCGGGTAGTCCACCACCAAAGGAATTTGGATGTGTTCCGTGACATACCCTCCTTCTTTGATCTCTGTGCGCCGGTACTGCAGGACTCGAGTTTGTGAGAGGACCCACAGTGAATGCACGAAATGGGCAGCATCTCCTTCAAGATTGAGGTTGTGTTTCTCCCAGAGGGGATGCATGCCAGGGAGTCGTTGGATGTCCACCGGTTCGGATAACTCCAGGGACGTTTGCACTGCCTCCTTGATGACTCCCCAGGGGTCACGGTTGAATTCTGCCAGATATGCACACATCCAGCAGAAAGCCCGCCACGGTGCGTTGGCAAAACATCGTGAGCTCGGATTGCCAACCACCATGCTCAGATTCTGGAGAAGAAGGTCAGTGGTGGAGGCATAGTATTGTGTGCTCATACAGGTCAATGTCTGGCCACTTTCGGAGGGCGGAGTAGGTGTTGTCAAAGCGCCTCCAGTGAGCTTCAAGCAAGGACCATGTGATGCTGCCGGAGGAAAGGTTGGGTGCAAAATTTGAACCTCTTGTTGAGATTCCCAGGAACTTGGTTGGTGTTGCTCTTCCCCTGCAACAGTGATGTTCTGTGGCTGAGAGTGGATGTGAAAATTCTCAACCATGGTGCTACGTGTTTGTTCCCCAACACTGATAGCACTGCCAAAAGTGATTGCTGTTGAGCCTGAGGCAGCACGGCAAACCCGTGTGGTGCGCCGTGAGCCCTGGTCATCGATGGTGCCGGAAATGATTTGTGAAATGTCCCCTTCACAAGGTTCCCGGTGAGATTCCCCGTGAGAGTCAGGGGTGTTGGGCCACACGATTGGTGGTTGGTCTCCCATGGACTCATCTTCAAAAGGGTTGTGTTGTTCAACCTCGGTCCCCAAAAACTCCTCCGTCCCGTCACATGACCAAGAATCATCGTCAGGGATCGGGTAAGTCCACCCCGGCTGTTGTGCTATTGCATCCCTGTTACCCACACGATCCAGGAGGTGGTGCTGGTGTGCCATCTGTTTTCCTCCTTTTGGTGGGGTCATCAGGATCCTGGTTGGGTCGCTTAAGGAGCCCATGCAACTGGGTCTTCTGCTCTTCAGTGAGCGAGATCCCCAAACTGTGTACAAAGGACTCCACAGCCATTGGGATTTGTTCCGGCTCGCTGGTGCCACCCGTCAATTCGCCTGGTGCTGGAGTTTGGTTGATGGCGGTCATGTAGTCCTGTGAAAGCTTGTGGAGTGCTTTCTGCCCTTCAGCCAATTTGGCTTGAAGCTCTTGCATGTCCGAGAGCAAGGAGGCATACTGGGCTTTGACTCCATCGATTTTCTCCTGCAGCTGATTTTTCCGAATGGACATTGCCTTGAGGTCTGTGACTTGGCCTTTGAGCTTAGTGGCAATGTCCTTCTCAGTGCATGGTTCTGGAGCGGTGAGCTTGCTGACGATCTGTTGGACTTGTGGTGGCAGGGCGTCCATGTGTGTTTTCAACACATCAGTCAAACCCGGTTCTTCTGGTTTGATTGGTCCGATGCCGAGAGCCTGGAGCTTGGTCTGTGTCTCTTCAGGCAATGTGGCCCAGCTGCCATTGAGAAGTTCTGAGGCTTCTTGTTGGACCTTGGTCTTCTTCAAGGGTCGGATCTTTGTGAGGCCGGGAGGTGATTCCAACCAATGGTGGTGGATGGCGGATTTGTTCGCCGGTCTTCCATAGCCTTTGCCTTTTCCTGTGTGGGCTTGATGGTCAGGCCACCAGGTTCCGCATTTCCGACACTTGGTGCCAGACCTGATCTTGTCGGTCCAGATCCAATTGGAGCATTGGCTCTGCGAACAAACCATGTAGGCCCTGCCCCACGTGGGTGACATAGTGCCGGATGAGGGTGACCTCAGGTGCGTCAACCAAGAGCAGGAGAAAGGTTGAGGATCAGAGCACCGATCACGAATTGGCCCTTGAGGTGCTTTAAGAAAAAGAGCCAGTGCCCACGAGGTTTCCAAGCAAGTAGCCAAGCGAGCAAATGCCGGGTGCCGAGGATCAATCCAACAACGTGGAAGGTGAAGACCTGGATGGCGAGCAAAGAACGGAGGTACTTCACAAAGTTCCTGGGCCTTGCTCGGTGTGGTACTGCTGGCAACTGAAGCGCAAGGGGTGTGTGCACCAGCCCGATTTCACGGGCCACGGGCTTGAGCAGCTTGTGGCCTTGAGCCATGTATGTATGTATGTATGTATGTATGTGTGTATGTAAGGTAGGTTAGGTAGGTTAGGTAGGTTTGGTTAGGTTAGGTTAGGTTAGGGAGGTAGGTAGGTAGGTAGCAAGGAAGGTAGTAAGGTAGGTAGGTAGGTAGGTAGGTACGTAGGTAAGAAGGAAGGTAGGGTAAGGTAGGGTAAGGCAGGGTAAGGTAGGCTAGGGTAGGGTAAGGTAGGGTAGGGTAAGGGAGGGTAAGGGAGGGTAAGGTAGGGTAAGGTAGGGTAAGGTAGGGTAAGGTAAGGTAAGGTAGGGTAGGGTAGGTAGGGTAGGTAGGTTGGGTAGGTTAGGTAGGGTAAGGTAGGGTAAGGTAGGGTAGGGTAAGGTAGGGTAAGGCAGGGTAAGGTAGGGTAAGGTAGGGTAAGGTAGGGTAAGGTAGGGTAGGGTAAGGTAGGGTAAGGTAGGGTAGGGTAGGGTAGGGAAGGGAGGTAGGTAGGGAGGTAGTAAGGTAGTAAGGTAGGTAGTCAGTAAGGAAGGAAGGTAGGTAGGTAGGTAGGTATGTTCTAATCCTGACTGAATCACTGAACTCCCGCCCTTGATTGCACCAATGACTCTAGCAGAGCTGCCAGCTGCTTTCAAAGCCGGGTCAAGTTCAAAGCTCTTCCGGTCATTGTCCGTTGCCCGCTGCTCTTCGGGGTTCAAGCGATAGGCACACCACCTCAGGTTCTTTCAGTGGCCGTAAAGCCACTACAAACACGTACCGGTGCCACAAACAGTGGACTTCTGCCTTGAGAGCTGCAATCACAATTGCAAGAAACAGAAGGGCGGAGCAACTAAGCACACCACGCTGGATTCCGCATCTCCGTGTCATAGCCCATAGCAATCCCAGGATGGCACATGCGAACCCCTTGCTCAGGAACATCGGGGCCCAAAAAACTTGAAACTAGAGCTTTGATCACGTCAGCCTTGCGTCCAGAACATTCTACTCCACGCTGCTCACACATCTCCAGAATCTCTTCCTTTGTGTTCTTTGATGATAGTTTTGCACCTGTGAACAAGCCCCAACAAACTGTTCAGAATGCAAAGGGCACCTACTCAAACACTAATCAATATGTAGGCCTATGCAGGCCACAAGAAGCAAACTGCGTATCAATGCACCAATGGAAAAAGATAACATATTGTTTTTCTTTATACATGTGCGTGGAACCGTTCGATTCAAAAGGAGCCTTATGGTGCAAATGTTAATTTACGGCAACCATCCATGTACTGCGTGGCCACAGTACATTTACAGGCGGATATCAGCGTAGCTTGAGTTTTGTGGGTGTTGATAACTACGCTCGCCGGTGGGTCTGCAGACTTGCATTTGGACCGCTGCGTTCGTCGGTCATAGAACCTTTTGGAACCTCCAGATGCGGAACCTCCACGATGCCTAAATCAATTCTTGTTTCTAATTCAATAGCTTCTTGTTCCTAGTAAGGCCAAGCGCCCCTAAGGCCCTAGTAGCGTCCTTGTTCCTAATAAGCGATGCCAGGAGGCTCCTAGTAGCGTCTTTGCTTTGGGTGCCCTTGGGATTCTTGGATGTTGGGAACCTTGGATGATTAGACCTCGTTGCATGTACCTGAGCTCTTAGGTTCCCTCGTTACTTAAATACATATATATATATAGGATTATGTAGGCCTCTTCGAGTGGTTCATTTCGTACGAACTCTTTTCCCGAGTGTAACATGTGTGTGTGTGTGTGTACGTGTACATTGTACATTGTACATACTGTATTTTCTTGAATATTTATATAACTTAAAACTGAAAACCTGTTGGAATGTAGCAGCCGAAGGCACGTCCTGTCCAATCAGACGCGCTGCGCAAAGACTCTGGGGTGTCCAGTAGCAGCCTTGATGCACATTCCACCCATTCTTCAGCCTTGTTTGTCAGTATTGTCGGAGGAGCCATGGCTGTCCGCAATTAGGGCCTACTCAAAGAAACGCCTGCATACAAATCATTCGTGTGATTCGAGTGATTCACTCTGGCTCTTGCTTTGTTCTCCCATGGCTAGCCTCCATACAGACATTTTCCGCAGGGCAGCTGCCTGGCGCCGGCCTCTCCCTGGTAAGAAGCCATTCTGCCGGAATGGCAGTGCGGAGCTGTACGATAACAGCTTTCTTTGAAGCACGTTCGGTCGTGGGTGCTTTGAATTGGTATGACGATATGACCCTCCCAGTCGGTCATGACAGTTGTGACCAATGCAAGAAGCACCACATACTGGACCACAGGTGGGCAGGCACCGAATTTCAAGAACTTGCAATTTGAGAACTGACACTTTTGGCCAGGCCACCTCCCATTCCACTGTACATCTGCTGCCCTGAAACCAACCACCTATTGAATCACTTGCCAATCGGCAGGCTGCAGGGAATGAAAGGTTGACTTCAAGCAGCCCGGTCTCCAAGCCTCCTAAGCTACATCAGGCTGCCCATTCCTAAGCCTGGTGAAAGGATTTTTTACCTTTGGCGCACGCCTGCTCAGCAGGAGCGTCAAAGTGGCCTACGACATTGCCAGGCGCGGAAAAAATGATCTAAAGACAGTTGCGGGCTGATGGTTCAGGAGAAGCCGACACGAGGTCCAAAGTTCCTTGAGAAGGCTTCAATCAAGTTCTCATGGAGCGAAGGGAGATGGTCTCTCATGGCCATCTCAGCTCTTGGCCCAGTTGCCGCAGCTGAAGAGAAGGAGGTGAAAGTCGAAGCACTACTGAATGAAGCGCCTGCTCTATAGCACTCCCTAGACAATGAGGCATGACAAGTTGGAAGCTCAAGTTGCTCTGGCCTGTGGCTGCCCAAGGCAGTAGCCCCTTGGGTGGTTTCAGGTAGTTGGCCTTCGCCTCTCAGGCTGCAAATCTCTATATAATCTTGTAAGATTGAAGGCCCCGTGCCGACGGCACCCAACCCTTAAGGGTTGAGGGCCAGCTAGATGAAAGCCGCAGCCCCAAAAAAATGCCTGCTGAGCAGTTGCCCGTGCTGCAAGCACCTCGGTGTGCGGCATCAACTTCTGAAGAGATCAGTGCACAAAAATGGACCTTTGTAAATCCACAACCTGTTTCGGTTGTTCGAGTACTGTTAGGATTCAGAGTGGCAACTACGTCAAAAATGCCCTTGTGAAGGCATACCTGGCGGACACTGACGCTGCAAAGACAGCAGGGCCCCCCCGATTTGGGAGGATGCCCCGGTGCCCCTTGGTGAAATTCCGTGGTCAAGGTGCCATGTCAGCTGCCGGCGCGATTGGAGGCAGCGCGCAAGCGGTGGATGATCTCAACTCACTGACCTGAAGCTCTGCACAGCACTGCATGCCAAGACCCGCTGGCGAAGGGATCGCTGCCTTGTCCCGAAATTGTGGTGGCGTGGCATCAACTGAAAGTTCATGACCTTGGTCAGCAATTGGCAATTGAGCCAACTCCGCAAGCAAATTACAAACGACTCCATCTGAATACCGTCATGAGGTATTATGAATGATGCTACATATTTGAGGCCAAGACCCTCCCCGTCATCGATGTGCCTTCCATGTAAATCTTGCATTGGCACTGGTATGTACCGGGGTGTGTGTGTGTGTGTAAATCTGTATGCCGAGGAGTTGTGACAGTGTCAGAATACCTCACTACTTTTGCAAAAGGGCCTTTGGTAATTGTCTTCGGCGGGCATGTGTGGTCGGGTCTTTCACAGTTCACAGTCTGAAATCTAGCGCTTTGATTCTTCGTCTGCCCTATTACTGCTTGTGGGCGCATCATACTCAACATTCCCTTGTCCATAGCGGTACTTGTGCCAGCACAAAAGTAGGTCAGAAAGTCCAGCGAAGTTTATCTCAAAGAGCCTGCAAAAGAATCCGCTGAAGATCCGGGCCAGAAAACCTGGCGACTCCTGCAGTGGTTGGTGATTCCAACTCAGGCCACCCGAACATTATTTAGCAGGCTCGGCCGGTCTGTGACAACAATGACCACTCTTGGGAAGGATGTCACAGAGGAACCCTGTTCATCCCTGTTCTCGGAACTTGCACTGGAAGTGTGCTTGTCGAACAACATCGCACAAATACAAATCATGCGAGGGGGCGTGTGCCCAACATGTCAGCAAGAGCAGCAATGTGATTGCGGATCGATAATATACATCACGAGAACTCAAATAAGGCCTCAGAGTCTTCTGTTGAGGTCCTGCGGCAGCTGCGTGCCTCTCTCTCTCTCTCACTCTCCCAGTTGCATTCTTGCGCAGCTTCACAAGCAATCAGATTTCTCAATTCATCTCAATTCACATGTGTCCTGGCCAATTCATCCTCCACCTCCGAAAGAGAGAAATCGAAGAAACACTGCACCCACTCTGGCACCATCCCTGGAATATGATCATCCAAGAACCACCTTGCCTCACGAAACACGCATTGATGCCACTCTGCGCGCTTGAAGGCACAGTACTTTGGAAGTCCTGCGAGGACAGAGCTGCATGAGGAGCCGTTGTGCACCAAGTTAATTACCCGGGTCCAGCTGGGTATCGCGGGAAGGCAGGCATGACATCATCTGCCTGTAGCAGCCACACCCACACACAAGGTGTGCTAGAAAAGCGTACAGTAGGAGGTTCATTTCAATGTAGTTCCATGCCTTCAAACGGCCGTTTCGGTCATGGTCCAGCACATCGAAGGTGTTGTCCACAAGGGCATCCTCAGTTTGCATGTTTCACGGTGCCCCATCTCACCAGATCAAAAAATCGAGGCTGAATCTGCCAGCAAGGCACGTCAAGAGTGGGGTGTATCTGGAACAGGCAGGCAGCCACGAAATCAGTGTAGCCCAGGTATCCTTTGCAATCCTGAAGCTCCACAAAGTGACACTAGAAACGAGCGGCTTTTGCGAGCTGCTCCTGATCTGCAGCCTTGAGAAACGCCTCCATGTCGACCTACAGGCCAACACTGTCTCAAAGTGACCAGATTGTGCTGGTCTACCACTGTCTACCTCATGAATTGTGTCAGCAGTAGGCCTCAGATCCCCTGTTCCATGACCACCAACTGCTCGCCTTCGCCACAACTCACCATGGTGTTGGTTGAGCGGTCACATATTGGTCAAAAGTTGTTCTTCGTGCTTCATCTTGATATGCCTTCCTCCAGCACACAGTAATGTAGGCAGTCTCGCCTGGCTGGCATTGAGCAAGTCCTGGCAAAGCTGCTTGGTGTGAGAAGAGCTAACAAGACCCACAAAAGTTGAGCTAGCCAGCCTCCTTAGAAATCCTTCCATCATGGTCACTATCAGCTTGTGCGAAGGCGTAGCCAATCATGTGCACATCCAACCTCGAAACTGGCACAAATGACTGGAGCTTCAAAATCGACCCAACCTCAGGAGGTCACTCGTCAAAATGACCTTTCCCGGCAAGGGCATAGAGGCAGCTTCTGTGCATCTGCGTTGCCTTCAGCCCATCATCCCGAGATCATGCGATGCCCTGGGCTACGCCCCGCAGTGCGTCTCGGTGTCTCTCACCTCCGTGAACCCCACAAAGCTTCTCAGCATCTCCTGACACGAAGGGCGCTGAGGAAGAAGAAGCACTAGGACCTAAACGCCTAGCCTCGGCAATGGGTACGGGGTCAGGCTGGTGTCGGAGCAACCACGGATGCTGCAGAGCCTGGAGCAATGTTTCTTATTTCCAGAAAACGAAGTCTTCTAGTCGCTTCATCCAGAATGTCTCGCCTTTTCGGCGGTAGGGCGCTCCTGGGTCCAGTCAAGAAGTCATGGTCGAAGCACGAAGCGGATGAGAACCGCAGCAAGTGCATCGCTCCTCCGGGTCAGCTGCCAAAAGTACTCGGAGAAAGTCTCGCGCCTGGATTTGGATCACATCTTTGGCTCAACATGCAACGATAAAGAACAACAAGAAAGAAAATGACAGTTTTCGCAAAGAGCAAACGAAAACCTGTTGTCCGACTGTTTGGATCGAGGGCCAAGCCTCAGAACTGCGCCAAAGGCGCTGATGTCCCGGCGATGCGCGGAAGGTCTGATAGAGGTCCTGGTCGATCCGGGCTCGAGACACGTGTCGCACCGAGCCTCACATCAACTCATAGCTTGCCGACTTGCCTCATCGAAGCTTTCGTACTCGCACAACTGCTCCAGAATTGGCTCTATTGAATTTCCATATTCCTGGAGGGCGTTGATTGTGTGATCGTCCAGCACTACAGTACAAACCACCAGCAACACCAAAGATCACTGGCGCCTGTTGCTTTCCAAAGGGCGAGATGCCTCCCAAACACACTTCACAGTCAGCCCCACCATGAGTTGCCAGTAGGAGCCATTAGAGGCTTCTGTGGTTTCGTGTCAACCGGCCTGCAAGTAACTCAAAGGCTGTAACGCCGACTGCCCAAATGTCAGCTGCCATGGAGAAGCCCGACTTAGTGAAAAGTGGGAGCATCAAGGCCCAACTCTGCCGACTCCACAAATGTTTTTGTGATACATGTCATGTCGGACACACACTTCCATTCCGCCAAAAAGAGCTTTTGAACAAAAGTCATTCAAACTCCAGAAATTATTGTCTCTGGGTTCCGAGTAGCTAGAAACTTCAATCAAATGCTAAAACCTCAAGGCGAATTCCCTCCATCTCAGATTTTTACCAATGGTTTTCTGATTGTTTGGCCATGTTTGGCCTCTCCAAGGTTGTTAATGTTTCGAAGGCTTGTTGCGGGTAGGCAGCTCTTAATTTCGCTCCAATGCAATGTAGCTTTGGGTGGCCCACTTCCAATTATGCTTGTCGCCCATGGCGTGAAAATGAGCCCCTACGAAGGAAGTTGGGAAGAGAGCGAGAAGGGGCAGAGAGAGGTAGAGAGACTGAGGAAAAGTCGACATAGCTTAAGCTGCGCAGGAAAGACCCTTAACTGTAACTTATTTACTTATTTGACACATGGATGGTCAAATACACCTGGCAGTGCATGCCAAAGCTTATATATACCAATTGGGGCAATTCCTGAGCATCTCCGCCTGTGCGATTGCAAGCTCTGGCGCCAAGTACCTTCATGGAGGTGGCACGTCGTTGTGCCATGTCAGCAACACAGCAACACGTCCTTTCAATAGTCTTGGGCACGATACAGTGCCCGCAAATTCCTTCACTCTGCCTTTGTATGGCGTTGCCAGGCCGAAGTCGATCACCTCAAGAGCAAAAGAATGATTTCTACAAAGTCATTACATCTGATGTTCTCTCTTTGCGTGTGATCAGCAGCCTTGAGGCAACGGCCTTGCAGAAAGCGTCGTCAGACAGGGATGTCAGCATGATATTCTCAGGCTTCACATCTCTATGAGTGATGCCACCTGGGGTGCCACTCCGATAAGGCACTTCCAAAAGACATCTTTCTTGAAGTTGGGTCAGCTGCTTTTGTGGCAGTAGTTCAGGACCACCAGCAACTGATGAATGATCCTGGACCCGTCGACTGAAATGCTGTCCAAACCCTCTCAAACTCTCAGTGACTCATTTCCAGCTCCTGGCCACCAACTTTTCGGGTAGCAACCGCTCACGCTCCTGCGGAGCTCAGGTCCAAGCGAACTGTGCTCAAAAACTGGGCGAAGCGGCGAAGCTCTTAGAGCTACTGCTACTGACCTTTTGGCAGACTGTGACTTTGAGCACTCAAAGCATGCAAATGCATGCGCTGCCCCTCCATTGTCCATACAAGGTGCAGCAAGCACATGTTTGCTTCAGCCTCCAGCAGGTCAATGCAATCGCCGCCAGGGACGTACCTCATGGTGGCTGCAAATGTAGAATCAATGCAGAACACTTTTTCCAGCATTCACGAATATGCGTGCAAGGAGTGAATGGCAGGGAACAATAGAGGCCGGGACATTTAAGAAACCTTTGTGTCTTGCGTCACTGCATCCGAGCTGCTCCAGAATCAGCACCAATTCTTGAGTTTTCTCGTCCTGGCGAGCCCGGTACAGATTTGCACCTTGCCAAGGCAACCAGATCTGCCAGGTCTCCTCCGCAAATTCATAGAGCCTCAAAGCCCCGAGCATCGTGAGCACTCTCCGGGAACGCACTCTCTCTCTCTCTATCCCTCTCTCAATCCAAGCGTGTGGCCGCACAATGTTGGGGTGGTCAAGGGCTGACAAGACCTGAACCTCTTTCCTTAGCAACGGGGCATGTCATTTGTAATTGTAGTTTTGTGGTCTGTAGTAGTAGTTGAGCCAGTTGGATGCACCTTGCATCCGAGGTTCCGCATCATACCCAGCACGTGTGGATCCATGTCTTTGATGTCGATGACCTGCAAGTAAATGACCCCCAAAAACTTCAATGCATGAACAGTATCCTCCTTGCACTACTGATGCGCTGCTCGGCACCCAGATCACCAAAACCACTGGTTTGTAGCTGCAAGTCTTTGCAGCTCTAAGATGTTGACCTGATTTGCTTGATGCTCGCTTACGGGGCAAAACCAGGAGCCCTGATGTAAGACTGAACCAAAACAAATTCTGGTACGGAGTTGCATGGCATGGACTGCGAGGCAAACACTACTGCTTGTGTTGAATCCATCTGATAGCAGGACAGCTGCCTTTGTGTGCTAGAATTCTGGTTTCTCCTGACTTTGGTAGGCCGCACTGGAACTTACATAGATGGTTGACCCCATCCCGTTCCTGCATGTCAAGGACGGCACCACAAATCCTATGCCTATTAATGTAGTTGTTGCCGCTTCTGCCCGCTACAATTAGATAGCCGTCGACCATTGGAAAAAGCAGTGGTGCCCGGCCTTGCACACCCGCAGGGCGTCGGTGCCACGCTCACGTACCAGGTTGACGCGTGAAAAGCTGCCACTATTGAGCCTTGACCACTCCAAAAGATTCTAAAAGTACAGGTTGCAGCACACGATACGCAGGTCGCCCTGCGAAGTCCGTGAATCTGGGAGCCCAGCTGCTTGACCACCTGGCCGAGGATTTGGGGGGCATCTGCGACCACCAGGCTCTTCTCTGGTCATAAGCATGATGTCCAACATAATTTTCGCTGGGCAATGAAGCAGGGATGGGAACGTCACTCGCTCATGAAGAAAACGCAACATCTACCGGCCATCCTGTCACTCAGCACCAAAAAGCAAAAAGAATTTAAAGGTGGCCACCCTGATACTCTATGCACATTTCTCTATATATACACACATATAAAAATATATACATACATACAAACATGCGAGTGAGTGGAGTGGAGTGGAGTGGAGTGGAGTGGAGTGGAGTGGAGTGGAGTGGAGTGGAGT